CAATTAACAGAACAATTAAAATTAGAAAAAAGACAAACAGAAGAAGAACGAAATGCTAAAGAGGTTTTAAAATTTCAAAGTTTTAAATTTAATAAGATTTACTTGTACAGGTACTTGATCAAGCACTAGATATTACACAAATGGATTTAGTTGAAGCAAGAAATTTATGCGAAGCATTACGTGTCGAAAATCACGACTATAAAGTCTATGATTATTTTTCATCTTGATTTTATGACAAAAATTTGTTGAATTTTATAGAATACATATGAACGAATGAGGAAAGAACATTCAGAAAAAATGGCTGATTTATGTCAACGAGAAGAAGAAGCAAAAAAACAAGTAGAATTTAACTTTTTTGTTGATTATTTTATTTTTATATAAAATAATAAAGGTTGCAACATGGGAACAGATGTATCGAGAATGGATGGCAACAATGGAACGCAGAGTTAATAATTTACAAGTCACTAATGAAGAACTTTCAGTATATATTTTATCTGAAAAATACGAGAAATTATCTTAATTAAATTCTAGACATGGCTACATGATGAAAACGAAATAAGTCCTCATCGTCGTACAGATGGTGGTGCTGGTGCTGCTGGTGGTGGTAATCAACGTCGATAAATATATTCTTCCGAACTGTGCTGATAATAATGAACATTCCATATATATTTTTAATAATCTGTGTGTTGTTTTTTTATACCAAAAATCTCATTTATAAGCATGATAATCGATAACCGTCCAATTATTTTGCCTTATTTTTAATATACAATTTTAATCAATTTATTTTAGATTGATATGGATTCTGACGGAAAAAAAATGGATAAGCGATTTATTATCGAATTACAGATGACTGGTCCGTTGGTTTTCGAATGAGGCTAGATATAAGAATTACGCCAACAGATAAGAAACGCAAATTTCGCCATACTGACTTTCGCACTATACTTTCGACAATTCCCAAAAGTTGTGTTTTTGTCGGCTTTTCGCCTGTAAACAGGAAGAGGGGAACTTGGGCAATAGCCAATAGTTCAGTTCTGGCAATTATCGAAAATCTTAATAAAATCGGAATCAACTAATTAATTATAGTGCTTGATATGCAAGGTGCTTGCAATACAGGCTGCTTATATATTGTCAAAACTGAACTACTGGCTATTGCCCAAGTTTTCCCTGTTTACAGCCGATTACCGAAAGTGTAGTGCGAAAGTCAGTACGGCAAAATTCATGCTACCCCAATTGATAGAGAACATATTTCTCTATCGAACTGCATTTTTGGTTTTTCTTTAAAATGTGTCCAATGAAATTATAGAGGGCGCGATAGTATGGTGTCGATATAGCTATCTCATATACATTATTTCGTAAACTCGACTTGGGCTAGTAAATTAAATATGACTAAAACTTCTTTTTAACATTTTAAATGGAAATTTCAGCTATTAGAACTCTTGAAGAAGTGTCCGAACATCTGGCGCCACCACCGTGCATTTGTCGATATTAAATTGATGATTCATCACTCTGTGGGTACATACCAGATGTAAGAATATATAAAATCGAGCAGCTTCCACTATGAGTAAGTAATTTATGTTTTAAAATAAAAATTTCTTTATTTTTCGTAAAGTATCTTACCCATTGCGAGAATATATTTCATCCAAGAAAGATGATGATTATCATCGACCATCTTCATCAGCCAAAAAGAATACTTATACTGAAGTAAAATAAAAATGATTTCAATTTTCTTGTATTAAAACCAAAATATCTTTTTTCTTTTTAGAAAACTAATTCTAATCGATTAATTTATTTTGTTATTTTTCTTATTCTATTATTGATATTTTCTGTGTGTTATTCATATTATTCATATATTGATCCGACTTGTTTTAATAAAGAATGTACAGATTTTGTAGTAAGTTCTTCTTCATCTTTTTTTTTCAGTAAATTATATTTATTATTTATAGTGTCATGCTTATGCTCAAGGTTTAATTGGTGGTCACTTATGTCCAGATTTATGTACAGCAAGAACTTTACAATTACAAAATTGTCTAGGTGAACATAAACATTTTCGATCTAGAGTAAGATTAGAAATTTTATTTATAGAAAAAATATATTTTTTCTAAATAGTTATTTGATGATAACGAAGGGCAACAAGTTATTCGTTGTTATTTGAGACATCCATTAAGTAAATCAAATCCATCGGGAGATGTTAAAAATCATTTTAATTTCCCGAATGATGAATCAACACTTGATGTACTTTATAATGGACTTCAACAACATATTCAGGTGTGTTTATAAAGATATTAATCAAAATCATAAGAATATTATTTGCTTATACTTTATCGTATTTGTAAAATATCAGTTATACATCGTAGTTAAAACTTCTATAGGAGCTCGAATACGCGGATTCCTTTCTCATTAACACTTGGAACGACATATATTATACAAATCTCTTTGTGCTCTTGTTTTATAATTAGAAAATTATTTCCTCTACAAATAGTACCTCCAGAAACATTTCAATAAACTTCTTCGATTGATACAATAGTTTGTTATCAACAGAAAAAATATTAGTACTGAAGAATCTATCGAAACTCACTTTCTTCATTGAAAATCATATCGAAAAATAAAATTGTTGTATTCTGATATTTTCTTAGAAAAATAATTTGTAATAAAATATTATTGATAAAGCTATGATACCCAAAACATTGTATCAAATTTAGATAAATATTTTCTCTTCTAAAATATCTAAAGTGAACAAATAATTACTTTTAAACAGTCGATTATTTTTGTTTTTGAAAATATATATATATATTTTTTTTTTAATTAATAGAAAATAATTGCATTCGATAATTCCGAAATTTTAATTGATGCATTAATGAGCTTTGCTGATTTTAATAAAGATGGAAAAGTAAATTAAATAAATATTTTTTGTATTGAAAAAATAAATATTTTCTTCTACTTTTGATTAGATCAGTTTATCAGAAGCACGTAGTATTTGGTCACTTGTACAAATTGATGAATTTATTTATACAATATTATTATCTGATAAAGCTTATACACCAAAAATTGTTGGAACATGTGGACATATCTTTGCTCTTGAAAAAGTTGTTAATCCAGATTTGCCTTTCGATGATAAGAAAGGTTTGATTTTTATTTTTTTTTCCAATTGTAACAATTTTTTTATAGAATTATTTTCATCATCTGAACGACCTAATTGGTATCAAAGAGTACGATTAGCAATTGGAATTCTTGAGTATTTCAGTGATACATGGCATCATCAAGATACCGATCAACATTTATATTTATGTCAACCATTAATTAAATCATTTGGTTATGATAAAGATTATGAATCAAAAGTAAGTTTTCTGCAAATAAATTCTTTTCTTTTTTAAAAACGTTTTAAAAAGTATCTATTACAAGATTTTTTTTAGTGAAACCAAGATTCTTGCTTGGTTAGTATATCCTCGATTAATTTGAGTAAAACTTACTAATTGTATTTTATTAAAAATGCAAATTAAATCATATGCATGAAGTTAAAAAACTAGCAACTATTATTTTTTTAAGTATTCAGAAGTTATATATTAAAATAGTCCCACATTCTGCATAATTTAGAGTAAATAATAATTCAACCGAGATAATAAAAATTAGATATACAAAAATATTCAACAGACTGGTTAATTTTGATACTAATCAATTGCATTGCTTTTAGTAAACTTTCGGTGTTTCTAACCTTATTATTCAATACAAATTTCATTGAAAACAAAATTTTGTTTTTTTTATTATAATTTAGATGTTGAAATTAAATCATATAGTATCATCCAAATCAATAATATCACGTCTTCCAAATCAATGCCATACAAATAAAGATTGTTTATATGATTCATATTGTCATGCATCATGTAATATGTCAACAAATACGTGTCAAATGAAAGGATTTAATAGAGATTCTTTAGGTGAATTATGTTCATTAATATCATCACTTGTTGTACCGGAAGCTAATTCGACATTTTTAACAAATTTTAATGTACTTATTCGACAATGCCAACAAATTGTTACTGACGAAAGTAGTTTTGATAATGATTATATTGATTTAACATCATTACAAATTCGAAAAACGCTTATTTTACAAAATTTAAAAAATCTTCTCTGGGCAAATATTGAATATCAGATGAATAAAATAACAAAGAAATCAAGCAAAAAACCAGCACCGCCGCCTCTTCACGCAAAGAAATAAATAAATAAAAAAAACATTTACATATATATATGTTGATTTTTTTTTTTCGTTGTTATTATGTCTCTCATTGTTTTATTCTAAAATGAATTCGAATGTTAATATTTATTGTTTAGTCTTTCTTTTTCTCATGAATTGAAACATGAGATGTTTGAAAAATGAGAATAATTTATTTTATCTTACAATAAGAGAAACAGTTTTTTCGCAACTGACAGATCTCATTAAAATAATAAATATAAAATTCGTTTTATACATATATTCTAAAATATTGTATGAAGGATTATGTTTGCTATAACTCATGAGATAATAAAGATCAAAAGTTGCTTCATATACTATTCTCTTCTACTCACAATGGTATTCGTAACAAGGGTGAAGTTGATAAATTTATTTCATTATAATTTACTGTTTGATACTGATATTTGAATCATGCTTATGTTATGTAGGTGAATATCAAAGAATATTTTAATTTATTTAAATATTTCAGATCAATGAATCTTGATGATTTTCTTTCATGGTTTAATTCAACTGGTGTGAATACTGAAAATGTAAATGTTTCTTATTCGATAACTAGTGGTTTTGGTCTTTATTCTCGTCGAGAATTGATTGAAAAAGATTTTCTTATTCTTTCATTACCTGAACATTTGTTTATAAAACCATCATTTAATACAAATGATTTAACTGGTTTTGAACATTTAATTATTTATTTATTAGAAGAAAAAACTAATCCATATATTAAATTTCTTCGATCTATTCAATGTATTCCACAATGGAGATATTATCCAAATGATAAATATCCTCAACAATTAATTGATAAAATGAAAAAACATCTTAATAAATATAATCAATCACGAAATAAAATTTTACAATATAATGATGATGAATTTCAATGGGCATATTATTCAATAAATACAAGATGTGTTCATTTTAATATGGAAAATGATTCAAAAGATCAAGATGATAATCTTTGTCTTATTCCATATTTAGGTTTGAAAAATAGAAATTATTTATTACTGAAGAAGAAAAATTTTCTTTATTCTTTAGATTTTGTTAATCATTCAATTGAACCCAATACAATTTCAAAATTTAATTCTTTAACACGTTCATATGAAATTTATTCAATAAAAACAATTGATTTCAATGAACAAATAACATTTCTTTACAATCCTCATTCAAATGTAGATTTATTTATTGAATATGGTTTTATTCTTTCATTAAATCCTTATAATCAATTCAATATTGAATATAATCTTGAACAATTTCTTTCAAATGAACAAATTCAAATAATAAAATCATATAATTATTGGAATTTATTAGAATTTTATTCGGGTGATAATGATCTTTCATGGACAATAATTAAAGCAATTGAATTAAATATTAATCAATCTCAATGGTCACCCTATGATGATCCATCATCCAAAGATAAATATCAATTAAAAAATAAAATGAAAGAATTTTTAAATTTAATACAACAAAATATTGAAAAAGATTTTCAAGAATGGATAACAGATCATTTTATTGTTGAAAAAAATATTCTATATAAGGATTTTTTAACTACTCTTCATGATACATCTATTGTTATTGATAAATCTATTATTACTACTTACATCTATTTCTATCAATTCATTACTTCTCAGATCAAATGAAACTTTTCTTACTAGATATGATCTTAGAATAGTAATTGACGTTAAAAGTGCTGCTTCTGATTTTCACACCAGATTTCTTTTCGTATGAAATAGTGATAATGATGACGATACAAGCTGTTTAATTATTTGAAAGAGATTCAAGAATAATATTAAAGAGGTGCTTATTTCAATGTGTGATGCTACAAAAAACTGCTTACGATGAAGTGAGAAATCGATTTACGATCAAAGAATAATTATAATTGACCTCTCTTTTCTAAATAGAAGAATGTGACTATAAAATATTGAAAGGTGTGAATGTGCTTCTAGATGATGTATTGATTCTAATTTATATAAATTTGGTAAAACGTTTTGTTAATACGATTAAATTCCCATTTCATTCATAATCTATTAAACGAATCAATATGTCATTTATTGTTCAAAAAAAACAAATTAATGGATGCGACAGATTGAATACCCATACGTTCCATTATTGTTTGTCATCACTTGAAACATTAAGTCAAAAAAACAAAACATACCGCCAGATGCAATACAAAATGTTCTATAATCTCCAAAATAAAGTTTTTTTTTCTATTGCTTACTTATATTTTTAAAAATAGACGAACGAAATTACTTATTAATCACACACCTTTGTTTATAATCTAATAAAAATGACAAGTATAAATTGTAGACTATTTACAATATATTAAAAAACATAACAAGATCGAAGAATTTTATTCAGTACAAAATTTCTATATAAATATCGATCGTTTAATATTAGTAAGACAAAATAAGTATTTCTTTTGACGTACGTTAGATATATATTCTATCGAAAGATATCAGATTTATCCTTTACTTTAAAAATTGACGTTGAAGAGACAGCCATCTATTATAAACCATATCGGTTCGAAGTCCGTATTTATGAATCATTTTTTTTCCAAATGTAGTTGTTTCTTTCTAGAAGGTAAATATAAAAGCACAATAAACATTTATTTTCATTCTCCTATGCAAATATATAAAGCACTTGCTATATACACTAAATAGCCCTCGACGTATTCTACAAAAATATACTTTTGTTTTATTTCAACCGTTTTACAACAGTTTAACTCTTCTAATCTTCATTTTGTATATTACTCTAGATATAAAAGAGTCTTTTTTTCTCAAATAACAAACATGACACTTAGATTAGGTGAACAATTTCCAAATTTTAAATTAAAAACAACTGGTGGTGATTTTCAATTACATGATTGGCTTGGAGACAAGTACGTCCACTGTTTTATTTTTCAATGAAATAAATTTTATTTAAATGTGTGATTTTAGATGGGGTATTTTATTTTCTCATCCAGCTGATTATACACCTGTATGCACTACTGAATTATCACGTGCTGCAAAATTAGCACCTGAATTTGCTAAACGAAATACAAAATTAATTGGTTTATCATGTGATTCAATTGAAAATCATCATGGATGGATAAAAGTATTTCTTTTCTATTCGAATAAACGTAATGAATAATTCATTCTGTTTTTTTCAAGGACCTTCAAGCATACGGCAGTAATAAGTCCGAATGTACTACCGGTGATTTTCCGTTTCCAATCATTGATGATAGTGATAGAAAATTAGCAACACAACTTGGTATGATAGATCCAGCTGAATTCGATAACAAAGGTTTACCACTTACTGCTCGTGCTGTACGTAACATTTTTATGATTTATTTTATTGATCATTTATTTTTATTTTGAAAAAAAAGGTCTTTTTTGTTGGTCCTGATAAAAAAGTAAAAGCAAGTTTACTCTATCCAGCAACAACTGGACGAAATTTCGAGTACAAAAACTTCTTGAAAATATTCATTTTTATTTACTTGTATTTCATTTAGTGAAATTCTTCGTCTACTTGATTCACTTCAATTATCTGCTCGATTACCTATTGCAACACCAGTCGATTGGAAGGTAAAACAACATTCTTTCCTATGTATTTACCTGCTATCATGTTATTTTTCAATACTAGACCGGTGATAAAGTAATGGTACCACCTAATGTTAAAGATGAAGATGTTGCCAAACATTTTCCACAAGGTGTCGAAATCAAAAAAGATCTTCCAAGTGGAAAAGGTTACATTCGTATGGCACAAGTCTAAAATTGAATCTTTTTTATTTTTATTTAATTTTCGTCTTTATGAAATAAAAATGAAAAGTTTTCGCCGATAATAAACACATTTAATGACTGTCACAATCTGCTCCCGCCTTTATCTTTATTAAATATAATAAAATTCCAAGGCGAGGCTAGATGAACAGTTTTTTTCTGTGCTTTTCAAGAAGAATAATAGAAAAAAGCAATTAGACTGTTTGCACAACCCAGCGGAACTTCAATAAATTTTCATCTCGGCGCGAGGTGTGTGAACAGTGTAGTCGCAATTTTCATATTTTTTTAATATATAGATTGTATTTATATAATATAAGGAAATCTTATCGGAGGGTACTGATCGACAAGCTTCGCTTCATATAATTATCATCGAGCGAGGCAAGACGAACAGTGACTTCCGTATAAGAAAATGAATTTACCTACTGGTTTATCTATGTAGAACAACTGAATTGTGTAACTTGTTCATTGAGATACACGTCAATTTATATAAGAAAAATAAGAGACAGTAAAGCATCATTGGTTCACATGAAGGTCATTGTCATTTATTGGTTGAGATGAATAAATGACCGTTTGCCCGGTCACTCTCTCCCTTTGTTTTATTATTCTTTTGCCAAGGATATTCAATGAATAAGAAATTGTCTGACCGTTCACGACCGACGTGTAACAAACAATAGGAGAGGGAATATGATTATTCCCTTCTCATCTTAAACATAAAAGCAATTTTATTTTTCTCTTAAAACCAGTTTTACGAAAGATCCCTTCAAAAATATGCTATATTAATAAAAATCGATGTAAAATTTTTTGTTAAGTTTATTGATTTATGGAAAATAAAAAATAGTGATAAAAAGTAGAAGGGTTTTAGCATACCCAAGAACTGAAATCATTCAATTGATCATTTTATATCTTGAATAGAAGTCTATATATACTGGTTAGACTCAAATTTCTCAAAGCCAGGTGATAATCTTTTTGAGAATAAAAGGCTCATCGATATTCACTATTCTTTTATATACATATGTTTTTAGTTTTAAATGAAACGTTTATTTAATATGAACATGAGATGCGTATAGTAAATATTGACATTTGATACCAATGTCATTGATCGTATGTCAAGAAGAAATAACATCTTTTAAATAAATACATGTTTAGCGACTTAGATTGTCTGGACATGTATTTACAATTTCTCTTTTTTACTTTAATAGATTGAAGTAATTAAAAAAACACGTTTGTTTTGTATTAAAATAATTTCTATGAAAATTTAAATTGAACGGATTTTTTTTTTTTATTCAAAATACAATTAAAACGTTTAAATGTATGTATGTAAAGTATCAGCTTATTGGCGTCATAATGTTTATATCAAATAACTCTTCACTTTCAAGTGTTTTCAATTTCTTGTATAGATAATAATTTCTTGTTCTATTATTATTTTCTTTTGAAAACGTTAATATTTGAACAATCCATTCATAAATATAATGAAACAGTTCTCAATGAACATATGTTTTTTATGTTTCGTTGCACAGCAGGAGAAGATTTCCACCTCTTGTCTTTTCACACTTTTAATTTAACACATGCTGGTAGACCAATAGAGAAATGAATGAATGAATGAATGAAACAAAAAAAGGAAGATGATTATGGTCATCTTTTTCACACGAAAGGCATACATTGAATGTATGATGATAACTATCAAATCATTTATTCCTTAGGGAATAATATTATTATTAGTTTTTTTTCCCTTTCATCATTATAATTTGAAATTATATCAATTTTTTTCCTATTAAAAATGAATCTAAATATAATAATTTGATTTCATTATATTTTCTTCAGAGAAAGAGCTAATTTAGGAATGTTTGATGATATACGATAAACTTAAAATGTTGCTATTCAATTCAACTTCGTTGTAACAACAACAATAAAAGAATTCTTCAATTTGATATAATTTTTTTTTCATACGTGACATCGTGATAAAGAATAACGAAGTTCAAGTATTTAGTTGATATTCAATGACCTGAAATTTAATATATACTTGTAAAAATTGCTTTTTTTCCTATTATATGAAAAAGAGTGAATCGTTAATTGCGAAGGAATTCATTAAATTGTTAATACGAAATAAAATTTGATATAAATATTAGTATGAGATGAATTCAACGATTATAATCATAACGAAAAACATTTTTTTTCCATCATTAAAGTCATGTTACTTTTATATAATGAACTTTAAACGTTTCAATTACATACCATTTTCGATTTCTATTATCGATAAGTTTATAATTCTTGAAATATGTAGATGTCGCTACTATGCAACAGGTTTTGTTTTTTGTTCTTAAAAATAATACTATTAATTAAATAGAAAGATTAAATATTGAAACAAAATTTTTCTGTATAAATTACTTAGTAAATAACTTGTTTCTATAGAATTAATCGAAATAATTATTAATGAATGACTCATGAAATTAATATATTTATTATTGTATTATTTCGTTGTTATGATTGGTAAATATACAGTAGTAGTAATGTTTTTTTTCATGAAAGAAAAAGAATATGTCATGTGATCATGATTGATTGACAAATAGCAAACCTTGATTTGTTGTTTTTTATTTAATATACGCAATACGATCGTATTTTGAAATAGATTGCAGTTATGTTAGTGAATAATTTTCTTTTACAATAACAAATTCAGACAGTTTCTTTTATTTGTTTTTCTTATATAAGACTATTCACTACAAATCGTATTTAATCTGTATTTTAGACGAAAACAAATGGTTGAAGTAAAATTATGTATTATCAAATTAGACGGTACAAGTGAATATCGTCGAATTGGCATTCCAGTTCTAACAGCTTCTACAGATATTTTATCAATACTACGTGAAAAATTAACACAATTTTTTCCTGACTTAATGTCTTCAAAAGATGGAATTCATCTAGAATTTCAATATGAAGATGATATTCGTGGTCTTGTCATGGCAGTATCAACTGATGGAATAAATGAAGCTGCACGCGATCAAGCATCACGTCAACAACTTCTTCGAGTTTTTGTTAAATTTACAAAAGAAGATGTTGCACCAATAAAATTACTTCCACCAAAACATGTTGGAGTTATTTGTGATGGTTTGTAGTCTTTCTTTCATAAAAATTTAAAATATAATTTTTCATTAATTATAAAATAGGATGTAATCGTTCACCAATCATTGGTATTCGTTATAAATGTCTCGAATGTTTTGATTATGATCTATGTGAATCATGTGCTGATCGACAATTAATTCATACACATCATGTTATGGCTAAAATTCGAACACCACATCAAGTAAATTTTTGTTTGTTTTGATTTATTTTAATAAATAAATAAATATTCTCATAGGTCGATGTTGTTCGAAACCTTTGTTCATCAGCTCGAACAAATACAAATAATAAAGAACAATCAAATATCTTACCTGAATTAATTCTTAATCAACCGACTGATATCGAAAAACAAAAATATTATAATACAAGTGAAACACAAACATTATTTGTTGAAGAAAAAGAAGAAAATACTGTTGATGATGATATGGAAATAATTCCTAATAATATTATTCAAGATGATTTTGTTCAATTAGATTTAAATGAATGCAATGAACAACAACCACCTAAGGTTATTAAGAGATACTTAATTATTTTTATTTATATTAATACAATTTTTGTTTTTAATTTTTAGGTCAACGAACAGTAAATATGTATATATATATATAATTATCAATATGAACAGTGCCAATTGACAGTTCATCTCTATTTATATAATTAAGATATATATATATCATATAGTTTCTTAACCCCAGTGATTTCTTTGTATCTCATGTGTGTCTTAATCAAGAGATTGTGTTCAACCGTTTATTTTCTTTTTTTCTTTTGTCGTTTGTGTACATAAAAAATATTTTCTTCTATTTACTGAAATGCACATACGTTTTGTATATATGTCTCATCATGTTTGATTGCACTGCTTCTATTTTTTAATTTCAATTAGACAAGAAATCAAACACAAACAAATGGCTATCGATAATAATATCTAAAGAAAAGAAAACAAATGATTATATTTTTATTTATAAACAAACAAGAAATAAACTAATAATAGAAACGAGATCATATTCTTAAGTAAAGATTAAATCTATTTCAACAAGAGACAATATATAAATGGTTGTCTAATGATATAGGAAGACTACTACAATGAAATTTCTATTGAATAGATTTACAAATAGTTTAAAAATTGAATACATTTCTTTGTCAATAGAAAGCAATTATTTGGTAAGAAGATTTTCCTCAAAACATTTTTATTTATTGTAGTTCATTATTTCCTTCAACATTTATCATATGTTGAATCTTTAATAAGTCCAAATTGGTGTCAGGAATTTACCGTATGACCATTGAATATCTTATTTGTACATAATGTGTTTCATTGCTGTTATTGTTATTGACTTTTATAGATTGTTTTTATTTTAATAATAGTTCAAAAGAACCTATAAAATATAATATCGGAAGGAAATATAGTTGAGAAATGCTATGACTTCCTTAGAAATATATATATATAATGTCATTTTTATCTTTGTAATCAAGTCTATCGTAAGAGAATTTTTATTTTTAGCGTTTTGAAATATTTTCAATCCGAACTGATACTTTTGTTTTGTTGATTAATAATTCTAAGAAAAAAAAAAGTCTCTCTGATTCTCAGATAAAAGAAAATGCATGTCATAGAGTACTTTTAATATTATCGAGAGTATTCTATTCACACGCAGCGTTTCCATGATTTAAGAAATAACAAAGAAGAACTAGTTTATCGAGTATGTAGAACATGATAATTTTAATGAAGAAACAACTATGTGACATTACTGATTTGCAATCTACACAAAATACTTTTTGGTGGATGTTATAATCAGAGAGTAACAGATATTTTTAGATACACTAAACCATAGAATTATAGAAGTTATAGTTTAATTTTTTTCGCAAGAATTTTATATAATCATATCGAAATCTTATTTCTGTTGATTAATTTCGATAAGAATATTTAGTTTTAGATGAATTAAGTATGATAGTTTTTTTTTGTTAATATTAGAACAAGAAGAAAAAAATAAAAAGTAATTTATTCGAGTCTTATCCTTCAGATTTAATTATAAATTTTGTATATGAAGAATTTTTGTCAACCGGAAACATCGATCCATTGAATCTTTTTAAATAATTTTGCACACAATAGTCTCTCAGCTATGATTTATAGCTAATATTAAACAACATCTCATTTGTACCTGGTATTTCTCGAATGGTAACAACGTTTTTTGTTTTGTTTATGAGATACGTTTTATTTGAAAAAACCATCTTCATTTTCTGTTTTACGTATGAATATTATATACATTAACCAAGTCATGCATTTATGACTTTCTCTAAAAACATCAGTGAATAAGTTTTCACTTAATTATTAACGTCCTTTTAAGAAAGTAAATTAAAAAAGGTAGTAATTAGTTTTTTTAATAAAACAAAGTCTATTTAAAAAGTTACTTGTTCAATAATTGACGTAAAGTGTATATAGTAAGAAAAATAGAAAAACATTTTCTTTTTATTCACTTAAATAGAAACCTATAGAATTATTTCAGAAATAGTTTAGGAATTATCAGGACTGTAGGAAACCTTTTAGGATTGATGCGGGGAGCGGCAGAATATTCCACCGAGACCTAGACTTTATGAGGAAGAATCACCTTTTTCTCCGGTTCGCGACAGACCTGGAAGTTATATATATATACATAGAGTAATGGAAATTTATCATATTTGAAGTATAGTCTTTTAAAACAATATTAAATTCTCAAAACAACAATTAAGATGGTGTGTAGAGTAAAAAGAAAGGTAGAAATTTTATTACTATTAATAAATAATGGAATTAATACCGGAAGCAAATTAGAAATTTCTTATAGGATATAAAGTCGAAAAGAAAAGGAAATTATACGATAGTAAAAAAAAAAGGAAAATTGCAAAGTTAAGTCTATTGGGTATTTCTTTTGTTTATATGTTACTTTTTAAGAAGCAATGAACAGATCTATTTTATGAATTTAGATTTTACAAATAATTTTTACAATACAATGGTATATGATCAATATATGTCCTTATCATTTGTAAATATTAATATTACTAGTTATTGTGTGCAATTCATCGATAGTTTATGTTATATATTAGTTATTTTTGGACTTGTTGGAAATATCTTAGGACTTTTAATATTTTCTTCATCTCGTCATACTTCTAAAATTTCATCCGTTTATGTTTATTTAGCTACATCAAGTTCTATAATAAATATTTTTTGTGTTATTCGATATGCTTTAGTTTTACATTCAAAATCACGAATTATTATAAATAATTTAATTGGACATGTATGGTTTGCTTGTAAATTATATGAATTATCTTTTTGTTTTCGTCTTATTTCTTCTTGGATAATACTTTTTTGGATGTTTGAACGTGTAACATGTGTTTCAAAAAGATTACGAACACTTTTTTATCGATGGAATGCAAGTCAATTGAAATTTATTATTCCATGTATTATTATTTTTATTGTTCTCGGTTGTGTAATTGGACCTCCAGCTTATATGTATCAACCACGAATATCTAAGTATGAAAATAATTTTTTGAAGAAAAAAACAAAGAATGAATTTTTCTTTTTTTTCAATTTCAGAAATAAATTAAGTAATTCTACAATAAAATCAATGAATTATTTTTGTGGCCTACCTTCTACCGTATCGATTAAATGGCAAAAATATTTTAATGAATTACATCTTGGTTTAAATCATTATACGATACGTTGTTTTTTCTCTGAATTATTTCCAGCTGCAACAATTATTATATTTAATAGTTATATAATGTATTATCTTTTTCGAACATCTTATCAATTTAGTCAAATAAATGAAAATAAATTAACAAAAGAACGACAAAGAACAACATCATGGATGAATATTGTTTTAATTCTTCATTCATGTCTTTTTCTTTCATCACTTTTCTCTCATATTGTTGGACATTTCCTGTCTGTTGAAGCACATGAAACATGGTGGGTGTTATTAACAGTTTTAGGAAATTGCTCATTAAATTTTTATGTCTATTGTCTATCGGGTAAAGCATTTCGAAAACAAATTATTCATATTATTCAACGATTAATAATATTAATTTCATATAAATTACAAACTTGTAAGCAACAACAGCAAAATCATCAATATGATAATTTTAAAATTGAAAATTTGATTTGTCAATCTAATCACGTTGAAAACATTAATCAACCTAAAAGTTATGGAACTAAAAATTATCCAAAAACAATTGGTATAAATTCATCATCTCCAATAAGTGAACAAGAAACATCAGTGTAAACATTTAAGAAAATTATTATTTATGACTGATATGGTTATATTTATGAGAAAGGAGGGAAAGACATTTGTGTATATATTTAAAATTAATTATTTGAATAAAATGACTGAAAGAAATGATAACCATATAGATTTGAATTAGAACGAAATTATGTAGAATAATTAAAAGATTTTCTTCCGGTTGATACAAAATATTTTACATAAAATTTGATGAATCGATACATTATTTCTCGTTATTTCTAAATTATATTTCATTAAAATAAAATTTGATTAAGCTGGAATAGATTATATTTAATGCTTAATAAAAAAAAGTATTTGATAAATTTCATAATTGAGAAATGCAATAAATGTATAAAATGTATATGTTTAAAAATATTCTATGGTTAAGTCTAATCATCTTCGTTATCATCTGGTTGTGGTACATCTGTAAGTGGATGTTCATGTCCTTTCTTTTCACATGCAGAACATAGATCATAGTTGCCACATGTAGAGCAACTGTATCTTTTACCGATGAGAGGAGCTGCATTGCATCCATCACATGAAACATGTGCCCATTCGTACTCCTCTGGTGGAGGACGAGGTAAATTTTCTCCTTTTGCCCATACTTTTAAAGTTTCAACGCCTTTACGTCCAACATTATCACGACCGCGACGTGTTAAGATATTTCCATCCGATTTGAGAACGACCAATGATGGAATACCTTAAAAAAAAAAGAATAGAAATTTTATTGATATATTTATAGATAAAATAATTATTTACCAGAACATTGAAAATATGCTTTAAGAAGAGCAGTTGAATCAAATGGAACAGCAGGCCATGGCATTGTTTTACGATATTCATCAAATGATTCTTGATCTCTATCACTTGAAATAAAAATCATACGAAATGATTGAGAATCTTTTTGTGCTTCTTTAAATGCTTCTACTAATTTTGGTGTAAAACTACGACATGGTGGACACCAATGAGCAGAAAAATAAAATCCAACACTTTTAACATCATCTTCCCATAATGTTTTTGTTTCAATTTTTTCATCATTATCTGGATTGAGTAAATAAGGAACTGATTTTAAAAGTTGTTCTAATGAATAATGTTTTTTCGGTGCAAGATATTCAACAAGAGAATGTTCATGTTTACTATTTGGTAAACATGTATCACATAAATTAACATCACATTCTCGATTTGGACAACCATGACGTGTACCAATTAAAGGATTCATATAGCATTGAGTGCAACTAGTACCTTCCCAAACATGTTCACCTTCTTTTGCTTCTCGAGACCAAAATAAACGTTTTCCTTCTGACCATTTAAGTAAAGCATCTTTCGATGCACTACGGATTTCATCAACACCATCAGCAACAAGTACTTCACATGATGAAGAAAGTACAACTAAAGATGGTATACCTACAACTTCAAATTTTTCACCTAATGTTTTTGCACGATCTCGTTCTAAATATAAATATAATTAGATTGAATTATTTTATTTAATTTTGAACATACCAGAAAAAGGTAATGCTTTCCATGGCATTTCATTAAAATATTTATTAAAACCTTCTTCATCTTGATCACATGAAACAAAGACAATATCTAATTTATCTTTGACTTCATCCTTAGCGTCCTTGAAGATTTCAGCGAGTTTTGGTGTAAAATTTCGACATGGCGGACACCAATGTGCTCTAAATAAATAAGAAAAAAAGATATGATTATTCGAATTAGTCGATAAAAAAAACAATACTAACGAAAAATAAAGTGCTACAACTTTGCCATTCAATTGATTAGTTGGTGTTTTACTTGATTCTTTGTTTGATTCATCATGTTGAAGAAGGTTTTCGCCTAATAATTCATCCAAAGTGGTTGCCATTTTTTGTTAGATAAATATGTAACGTACACACTTAGTGATGCCTTGTTTTTATATTAAAGAGAAAAAAAGGGGGTGCTGTCGATTGCTTTATTATTGCGAAAGAATCATGTGCAATCTACTGTAGCTTGGTTTTTTTCTTTCTTTTCTGAGTGACGGCTGATTCATTCATTTTCTTGCTTCCTATACCAAAACATTGCCTAGAAAACATTACGAGCGTAAGGATTTTTTTGCAAAAAAACATTACTAAATAAGAGAAAAAAATATTATTGCACAACTAGCAAAAAATAACTGTGAAACATGAATCAACTCTGACGAGATATTTTTCACTTACAATGAATAAATATGAATATTCATTGAAAGATTCATCAGCAGAAAAGAATCACATTACACCATAAACAGTTACTAATCCTTTTAATAAGAAAAACTTCTCATCAACACTTTTTTATTCAAATTTGGTTATGATTGTTTTTAATATATTTAAAAATAGATAATGGATCATAATTACAAATGTTGGAAACATCATAACACGATCGTTATCTTACATATCAATATAAATAAATTTTAAGCTACGTAAATAAAAACATGTAAACTCTTATACAATTACTAGGAAAATTTTCTATATGAAAACTGATAATAAATATTGATAGTTAGTATATATAAAAAATATTTTCTATATTCTACTAAATTACTGTTAATTTATCTGAAACTCTATTTTTAGTTTTCGATAATTTATAAATTTCAACTAAGTAATAATTAAACTCAGCTTTTAATTTCTATGAGAAATTATTCGATTAAATTTTAGAGTTACATAAAACTTATCATCATATAAAAGTAATTGTTTTGATGTTATTTTAATAAAGTGTGTAGGAAAAACATTGATTATCATTGAAGATATTTTGTATAAACCAAAAACAACAATTCTTGATCATTTCTTTACATTGATCACAGAGTATTTGTTTATTTAAGATAGCTTAATCCCTTGGGGACGGGAAGCATATATGTGTGCTTTGATTCTGACTTAATCAACACTGTTTGAACTAAATCTCTAATAATACTTTACTGGTAGAAATGATAGCCTAGACTGTATTTATCGATGTCTACATATCGTAATATAACTATTTGTATTGTGTCCTCATTCACCTTTTCTTTCGTTCTATAGATAAATTATTTTATTTTGTATAAATAAGCCATTCGTGACAGTATTCGATTACAACTAATTCGTCAAATCGCTGAAGCATACGGAAAACCACAAGTAACACGAGCTCGATCTAGTTCTAAAGAAAATTCTATTAAACTTACTAGTCGTCACTTTCTCTCACTTCTACCTTCAACAATATAGATACGAATGCACTAAATGCAACGCCGGACTTTGTATTTCTAGTTGTTTTCGAGATTTAATTTCTTTTGCTACATTTACCCTATCCCCAAAAGGTTAATCTAAAGATTTTAATCCAACGATATATTTTGTTGAAAAAATTTTCTGGTAGTTCATATAGTACATAAATAATGACGACTACTATTCAACTTACAATAACATGTAATTAGATTTATTAAATACAAATAATTATTATTATTTATGTAGAGAACAAGCGAATAAGTGTGATTGAAGTTCAAATTGTCATGTATTAATTGGTTTGTGGTTTTTTACATGTATGTTCTGGAATAGGTAAATAGAAGACACTCTTAGGTACAACAGATGGTCCGATGGTATAGTTTGTAAATACTGATATAAGAACACTATTATCTAAGACTTCAATTGGTGTATTATTGTTCACTGATGCAAGATAACTCCATGTCCAAGATTGTGAAGTTTGATTCCACATATTACATTCTATATGTGGTTCACTAACAGACTTTGTTCTACCAGCGTAGGATAATGTTTGCCAATCTGCTAACATATCTGCATAATTTTCATGAATTTTATCACATTGAGGAGGATTTTTATCGTAGTTTATATCATATCCTGTTTTATTTGTTCCATAATAAAAAGCTTGTTGAGTAAGACGACCTTCATCATGTACATCAATACGAAAGAATTGCGCAAAACGATCAACATAGTTTGTTGTTACTTGAATTTGTGGAGAATCCTTTGATTTTCCAGCATGAATCATGAATTGATTTGGATTTGGTGGAGTAGGAACTGATGCAAGATGAATATTATAAATAAATGAAAAGAGAATAAGAATTTTGATAATTATATTTTTTATAGAATATAACTATATCTTTGGTTAAATGATCTAAAAATGTTTTTAATTCACTTAATATACAATATATTATATAAAATCTTTCTGCTTCTATCATTATTTCGTAGTAAGATATCTATATTCTAGCATGACAACATTACTTTCATATAAATAAGAATTATTTCAATATCATTATCTTTCTTATCAGTAAATGTTATCTATGAATCAGAAGAAAAAAATTATTTAACTAAGATGTATTTATGTTTTTAAATGCTATGATATAGTCCAGTCATTGCTTCTCATTTTATTTCATAGTTTTTGAATTTAATGTGTTTCACATCAATAATTTCACTACAATTAAATAATAATAATAGATATACGAATATTGTACATATATATCATTGGACATCATACTTGTTATTTTTCCAATAATATAAAATGAAATGATTATATGTAATCTGAGATGTAAAGAAAAAGAAAGTAATTCATCTATTTTATCTTAATCTTCATGAAGGTCATGATACTTGCATCGAACAGTTTTTAATCAAAACTAAAAGATCGATCAATGAAAAAACATCACATACAGTTCTAAATGAGATACAACAAGAAATAATTGTTCAAAAGTAAATTATATCTATAGAAGTGAGATTACCTGACTTTGAAAATAAATCGAAAATTATTTTCTTTTTACATGAACAATTTAAAATTATATTTATAAAAATTAACGGAAAAGAATTTGTGTATAGAAAATAAATATAAACTTAGCATTGTCACAGTTGTTCTCATATTCATATTAAAACATATGGTATATTAGATTGTTCATATAGACGAGTTAAGTGTTCATAAAAAAACAAAAGATATTTGACACAATATAACTACGATAATTAATCATTTTATTGAAAAATAAACTATGTAAATTTACATATTGATTAGAACAAATAATGTTTAACGATTACAAGCAAATTGTTGCAATTTATTTCGTTTATTTTTTCCAATTTCTTCATCATTATTTTCACTTTCATCTATTTTTCTTTTTGCATTTAATGAATTATCTTCATTTTCAGTTATTGTTTCAACATTTATATCAGACTAAATCAAAAAAACAAAATTAATTTAAAAGAAAAAAAGTTATAAATTCAAATTCTACTTGTATGGTTGCTGTTGTTATTGTTGTTATTTTGTTCGATGCTGGAAGACGTGACTTGTTAACTGAAGGTTTCCATTTACTTAGTTCATCTGTTGTCGATGTTTCATTTTCAGGAATTGTTATAACTTTCTTTCGAAATGGATTACTAAATGGACCAGTTGGTGTTGTTACTTTAGGACGTGTTTGTTTTATTTCTTCGAATGCTGATGAAACAATTGAAATAGATGATGATGATGATTTAGAAGAAGGAATTGAAGTAGGAGGACGAGCAGGAGGTGGAGATGAAGATCTTTGAATCAGTTTTTCTTCTTGTTCTTGATCTTTTTTTTGTTCAATTAATTCATCCGTTATTTTTTGTGCTAATGATATTTTTCCAGATTTAGTGGCATATCTAACAGCTAATTGAAGTGCAATAGAATCCATTAATTGACAAATCTCAAATGCGCGATATTCACGATTCGATTTACATGATGACTAAATTTAAACAAAAACAAAAAATCTATCATATTTTAAATCTCTTAACTCACAGCAAACATTTTAATTAAACATTGTCGTTCATTATTTGAAAATTCTTCATCATCTGTTGAATTATTAAATAATTTTATTTTGAGATAATCACTCTGAAATCAATAATTAATAAATGAAATAAATAAATAAAAGAAAGGAAATTAAAACCTCAAGTTGACTCTTTTCAGTATCAATTTGATACAAAGCTAATGGAAGAGAAATAATTGAAACAAGTGGCCATGGAACAAGGTCAGGAAATGATTGACCACGAAGTTCAATAACACGTAATTGAAATTTACCATTAAAATCATTTATTCCTAATAACCAATAACTTCCTAGATTATTTTTTTCAGCCTAAAATAAATAAATATTTTTTTTTCTCATTAAATATTTCTAAACTGAAACAAACTTCTTGTTTAAGATTTGATAT